ACCGTTTTTTTTTATCTAAGCCTCAGAAAAAATTCTTCACAAATATTTCAAAGTGGGGAGAGGGGGGGGGGGGCGCTGCCCCCTCCATACATCATAGCTCCGTCATTGAGACCAACGTAATATAAGTTATATATCATTAAAAACTTCAAATCGCATACTTTCCAATGGTATAATTTTAAGACTATACAACTCATCTCAGGACCCTTATAAACCGGAAAGGAGGTACAGTAGTACTATCTCAGGACCCTGTCTAACAAGAACTATAAAGTACGAGTGATGATAGCCTAGGTCTTGCAGTGTGTACTTACGGTAGTATTTTCAAGGCGCAATCCTGCAAGGGGATCATATAACAAAAACAGTCCTACCCAAGATACTAATCCTAACAGTCTGTCAGTCTAGCACACTGTCTATCTTGGAGCCTCCAGACCCCCAAACATTCGGGTTCTTAAACTTTGCAGAAGTGGGAAGGACAATAAATTCTTCAGAATGTCATCTAATCATAAATGGAGACCACAAGCACTGGGGCATGAGCAATAGAATGTCTCCTCCTAGCAAAACCACTTAAGATGATTGATGTCTTGAAAGAGAGAAGGGACAACAAGGAGCATGTCTGTTCTTAGGCCTTTTTCCTTTCTTTCCGGGGCAAGCCTTCTGTTGGTTAAGAGATCATATTTTAGCTTCTATTAGGCGTATCCGTTGCACCAGATATCATCCCCTAATCCAAGGTCGTGTTAAATCAGCGACAATTAATATGGATGGACTAGTTAAATTATAATCACCACAAAATTTTATAGGCGTGTAAATATTATCTGCTAAAGCATGTTTTATGGTCATCTTTAGATGATGTAACATTTGAGTGGAGGCTAAGAAAAAAAGTGTCGTCTCAACCATCACATACTGCCCTTTTAAGCGCATAGGTGTTTGTTATGATCCATTGTCACATCGATCCGACAGCTGATTATCATGTGACTTGTACTCAACAGGGGTTTGTTGCCTGATATATCCGGACATCCCCCCCCTTTCCATCTTAATCATCCACTAGGCGCACTTTTGAAGATTAAGTAGTATCGTGCACTCCTAAGCAGCAGCTTCAACATGCAGGATGCATTTCTTAGAGGCTTCTTAGAGGAATATACTAGGTACAATGCATATGCAGACACTCCTACCTGCTTCAGATAATCATCACCCTGATACAAGACATCTGAAAAAAGCGCAATCGAATCAATTCACTCAAGAACAGCACATTTCTTTTCAGAATTGGCCAAATGGATTCATGGAAAGCAAAGGTATTCACAGTTTCAAATAAGCCTAATCGATGATGCCGATTACTCCTTAGGAGTAATTATAGTTACTATTTTACAAATGTACAAAGCTGCTAAGATGTAGTGGCAACACCTTGATCACCACCCACCTGCATACCAGGGTCCTAAATTCAGAAATGCTATGCATTTCCAGCTCGGCGGTAAGAAGAACTGCTACTGATGATGAGATAAACAAAGGAAGGTAATTAAGAGAAGCAGCCGAGATATTTGACCAAACAGAAGGCTCATCGATTGGTTGACTGGTTCCTCTGCTACTAGTCGTCTTCTAGCTCTCGCCCAGATCTGTGGAGATCGAGCGCGCGCGCGGGCCGCTACGGCAAGAAGGGCGGCATCTCGCCGTACTGGGCCGGAGGCTTCCAGGTCGCCACGGCTGGGTCGGGGCGCGCGCCGCAGCGCTGGCACCGCTGGGCAGCCGGCAGCTGGACGGCGAGGATCCGGCGGCAGGAGGGGCAGGAAGAGTGGCCGCGCAGCCACTTGTCGACGCAGGCGGCGTGGAAGGCGTGGCCGCACTGGGGCAGCACGCGCATGGCCTCGCCGTCCTCGAACTCGGCGAGGCAGATGGCGCACTCCGGCGCCGCGGCGGCCTCCTCTGCCTCCTTGCCCTTGCCCTTGCCGGCGTCGGCGGAGACGTAGGCGACGGTGGGGATGGCGCGGAGCACCGACTTCTTGACGCCCCGGTTGGCGGCGGCGCGCGCCCTGGCTTCCGCGCCGCCGCACGCGCACCAGCGGGCGACGAGGCCGATGCCGAGGACGGTGATGAGCGCGCAGAGCAGCGAGGCGAGGATGATGACGATGTCCCTGTCGTCGGCGATGATCCGGGCGCCCGGCGTGGACAGGCCCGCCGCCTCCTGCAGGAGCCTCCGGGCCGCCATGGGTGACTCCATCGTCCTGTCCGTGTCTGTCCTGGTGCTGGTGGGATGGGTCGGGAGTGAGACGGGGTAGCTGGATGCGTTGCGGGGAGGAAGGTGACAAGTGTGCGCTGGAAGCTAGTGAGCGTAGCCCGGAGCGAGTGGGCTCTGGTCCGGATTTTATAGGAGGCGTTGGTGGCTTTTTTTCTCTGTGGCGCGGATAAAGCCGCGCGGTGTTTCCGGGCGTGGAGGATAACCGGGGGTGGTCGGCCGAGACGGTGGGCGGGCGCTCGTCGCCGGAATCCGGTGCTGTGCGCCGGAGGAAGTATGTGGTGGTACGTACTAGTGGCGTGTGCGCAAGATCATTATGGTGATAGCGATTTCGTTGCTGCACTCTTCTTGGTGTTCAGCTTAAACCAAATGCTGATGTGTTTCTTATCCGTTTTTCGTGTTCCGAGATGAGAGGGAAAAGAGAAAAGGGAGTCAACAAATGCTAAGTATAGTAGTGATATAGGAGTATTTCTATCCATGGCACATGAGAGGGTAGAAGACAAGAGACAGTGAAGGAACTAACAATGATGATATACATATTAGCAATTAAATAAAGAATGCATACTTAGTACACCCTCCGAATTTTAAAGAAGGGCGTGTGTGTTTTTTTTTGTCGCGGGGGAAAGGCGAAAGAAATAGTTAAAAATGCCCGATTTACCCCTAATCACAACCGCAGGTCAAAAGTAAACTCACGTAAATTATGACAGTGTGGGCCTCCTTCTTTCTATAACCGACACCACACACGGATGCATGCAAGAAAAGCATTAATATTGTGGTCATGCATGCAAACGACTACATGCCCACACCCAAGGCATGTAGCTTCCCTCTTTCATAGTGGGGGAGGGGGTATTTTCAACACGAGACAACACGTTTCGAGTTGGCACTATTTATCACCAAAAAGCGGGGAGGGGAACATCTGCACCATTTTTTAGAAAATGGGGGGAGTGCGTAAGAGTGAATAAATAACAGTTAGGGAAAATGGGACATGGGGAACCAGGAATATGCATTCAACACGATGGCCTCGGGGTCAGAGTTAGGCAGGGGTGTCCACACCACCGACGGTAACAGCTATAGCTCAAAACAAAACATGGTCAAGCTCAAACCTGGAGTTGGCGGTGGAGCTCCTGGCATGGCGAGGAGGTAGACATGCAATAGCGTGACGAAAAGGAGGACATGTTGTCTCGCGTTCCTATCTACTCTCGCAGTGCCATGCCTCCTCCCACAACCCCATCGCCTCCTCTCGTATCATCCTCTCCTCCATTGTCGGGCCCGTGGCGGAAATGGGGCGATGGTAGGCCCGGATCCCATGCTGCCGACGTGACAATGACTTCGCACCATAGGAAACCGGTTAGTCGGACCTATCACTGGATGCTGTGATGGCCGAAAGTTGACCGGCAAAACAATGATGAGAGGGTGGATAGATAAATATCCACACATGTGATCTCTCTCTCTCCCTCTCTCTCTCTCTCTCACACACACACATGTAGAGATCAAACCACCATAGAAGATCACAAATTTCTAGTGGCCCATCATGAGACCACTAAAAAATATCGTAAGTTTTCCGTGGATCGGGGTTTGAACCGTTTGAAATGTTGAATCACTATTGGTGATGCGCCTAAAAAACACTGAAGATGCATCTTTAGAAAATGATTAGTATCCAACTATTACAAACTAACGCTCATTCCAAAGAATATGAACAATTGCGGCTTGAGATGTACAAGATCTCTTGTTGTCCGCAATAAAAATGCGAGAGATATGCTCACATGTGAGGTAGTTGTCCAATTTTGGCACCACTCTGGCATATTTCTTGATAGCACACGAGATGGAGGGGTAACTTAGGAAATTCCTACCGTCCGCCAGATGTACTAGTGTATATGACCTGTTTATAGTAATTACATAATTCTACATGCAATGGCCTTATTTGTTCCTCATCCTGCACGCAAACATGCATATGTAAGCATGATGAACTACCCACGAGCTTCGAGTGCGACCGCCAAGCGAATAGTGTTGGCTCGGGTGGGCATTCTATGTTTCCCGGAACTAGGGAGGCCTGGAACCTCTCCCATCCGGTATTAGCCTCCCTAATCTTCAGCTACGTGAAACTAATGGTTGTAGTGCTTTTTGTTGTGTGTTCATTACACATGGCAACACTTCAAACCTACATTAGGTAGGTAGTGAGGCCTGTGGAGTTTATGTCCAGTTTTCGTTTAAGTGGTGTAGTTTTATAAGATTTTTCGGTTTGGTTTTCCTTACAAACCATATCAATTCTCTTCTCACATGGGAGGGCCCCTGGTTTCAAACATGTCGTGGACAGAGAACAAAGCTAATATTAAAATCTTGACGACATAAACCCCTAGATGTATGCTCGTGATAGAAGTTTCAACCGTCTCACCTATATTTTTACATGAACAAATCAAATTGATCAACTCCAAGTCCGGTGGAGGAGCTAGCCGAAAATCACTGGGGGGCGAAACACAAATCATCAATGTTTGGGGGTGCTAAAAAAGTTCCAATCGAAGCCCTCCTTAATAGTTTTCCTTCAGGAATTGATTCAAGGCTGGGGGGCACCGCCCCCCCCCTCCCCCCCCCCCTTCGTCTCAACATAGCTCTGCCAC